TCGTGCTAGTACGAACATCAAATCCACCATTTGCTCCATAGTTTCTGTAATATTGCATTCCAATTTCCAGATTCTCAAAGAGCATGCCAACTTTAGGGTTTACATCTTCTTTGACAATTGGTATCCAGTACTTTGTTGAATTTGGTGATATCACCAATTGAAATTGACATTCCTCATGTGTAATACCTGTTGCAAAATATCATAAGAAAACATTATTAGCCTTAATAATTGCAATTGCAAGGTTATTTGTATCGTGTTGCAATGTTAGTTGTGTGTTTGCTGCTAGGTTAGTTATATGTATTTGCAAGTTTATTTGTCTCTTGTTGCTAGGTTAGTTGTCTCTTGTTGCTAGGTTAGTTGTCTTTAGTTGCTAGGTTAGATGACTGTAGTTGCTAGGTCAATTGTCTGTAGTTGCTAGGTTAGTTATATTTATTTGCTAGGATAGTTCTCTGATGCTGCTAGGTTAGTTGTTTGTAGTTGCTAGGTTAGTTGTATGTAGTTGCTAGGTTAGTTGTATGTAGTTGCTAGGTTCGTTTTATGTTGTTGCTAGGTTAGCTCTCTGATTCTGCTAGGTTAGTTGTCTGATGCTTCTAGGTTAGTTGTCTACTGCTGCTAGGTTAGTGCTCTAGTGCTGCTAGGTGTTAGTTACACAAAATAATTTCAACAACTGCATCGACATTATATAATATTTTTGCCAGAAAACAGAGATTCTACAAAAATCAAAATTGCAGATAAGCACGAACAATTTTTTCAACATTACGTGATTGATTCTAATTAAATAACTCGATTCTCATTAATGGTGAATTCATCAGCACCTATTTATTTAAATTTTGATGAATCAATTTGGAAAAAAATAAAGTCAGTATACCTTCTTCCATTAATGTCGCAACTGGAGTTGCTTCGATCTCCATTGAAGCTGCTTCCGTCGACATGTAGATAAATCTGATGAAATCGACTTTTTTTCCCTAGATATTTTTTACGAGCAGTTGAGTTTGCTTATCGAATCAATAGAAAACGAGAGTTAAACCTAATTAGACGATGAAATCGAACTTCAAATTGATAAGGAAATCGAGATTGAGAAAGAAATTGCAGAGAATCGTGATTGAGGAGGAAATCTGAGATATTATTTCCGATTTTGTGTGCGAGCGAGCTGAAGGTTTGTGATTTTCAGCTCGTGATTTTATAATTATATATATACCTGATGCTGAGCCGTAGATTTAAAAGGCAGATTCAACGGCTGAGATTGGGTCTCACGTCCACATTTTAAGAGGTGGACCCATTGGATCCGTCTCCTATATATATATATATATATATATATATATATATATATAGAAGTGCGCTTAAATGAGAAAGGAGCACAATGAAAGAAATGAGAATGAATTTGGGTCATTGGATGCATCATCTCAATGGTTAAGATAAAGTCAAAGTTTAATAAATAATGTTCAATCATTAGTGGCAATATAGTAAATAAACTTACACATTGGGTCAAATGTACATATTTGACCATTTAATAGGGACAAAATTGGTCATTAAATACACACCACGGGCCCACCACTAACCCTCCTCCTACCCCATCTCTCTCTCCCTAACACACATTGCACACACCCAATCTCTCTCCCCGTCTACAGAGGCACTCCAACATCTGCCTTCACAAACCACCACCATCTGCCACTCGTCTGACCAAATCCGACGTCAACCGCGGCCGTTCGTCACAGCCATCATCACCGCCGGTCCATAGCCATCACCGTCTTCCTCGAGCAACCCCCTTTTCTCCCGCCGCTCTGACAATCTAACGGCCACCGTCGACGCTGCCGTACGGTCTGTCCTCCGGAACCCCTATAACCGACGTCCTCCCTTCATCGGCCGCTGAACGTCCCCTCTCAATTACAACCTTTCTTCCACCGTCCACCACCGAGATCGACCAACTGGTCAGGGGTAAGGCCGCCCGAATCACTCTGCAATTTCCTATCAATATCGAAATCGAAATTGAAGAACCCAATCACTGACGATGTCTTGGTGGGGCAGAGAATGACCGGGAAGTTCATCGGTGGCACGGACGATGCTGATGTGACGGGGCGAACGGGGCTGAGGCACAATTGAATTGGGGTGATTTAAAGAGAAATTTAATATATTATAAGGACTTAATTGCAAATTATTGAATTTAAATATATTGCAATTAAGTTAATGGGTTAAATTTGTAATTTATCAAAGTTTAATAAATGCATAACCATGCTACTTAAAATGCATAATATATAATGTGTATGTGACCATTAAACATGCTATACACTTAAATACTAAACTGTAATATTGATATACAAACTGAAAATTTTGACCAAAACTGAAGTAATCAAACGAAACAAACTAATATTTATTTGCCATTTTAATATTTATATTTAATATTTTATATTTTTTTAGTTGAAATACTATATAAAATAAAAAATCGATATTGTGCATTCCCACTGACATAAATGTGCAGTTCGGCTAACATTATTGTGCAGTACATTGAGCGGTTATTTTTATGTGCATCTCAATATTAAAAAACTCTAATAACTTGTATTTCAACCAACTTTAGTTTTGCATTTATCAAATTATTTATATAATACGAATATATTTAATATTTATAATTTTTATTTAATTAAAATAATATTTATTTTTACTAAAAATACATTTAGTATTTTACTAATTTAATTTAATAATTTTTATATTATTATTGATTGAAAAATAATAATATATAAAATGACAAAATTGATAATGTGCACTCTTATATAAAAAAGATGTGCATTTAACATAACATTATTGTGCAATCTATTAAGCAACTTTTTTTTTCGTGTGTGCATTTCAACGTGAGAAATTTTTAATAATGTATATAATAATTACCTTCATTTTTCAAATTATTTCAATAATAAAAATATAATTAACATTTATAATTGTTTATATAATATTTTACATTATTTTTTATTGAAAATAAAATAATATATATATATATATTTAAAATATAAATAATATCTTTTATTTGTAAATAATTGTTTATCTTTTATATGATATGTTTTGTAAATAAGGTGGAAAATTTGAACGAAATAACCTAGATTTTAATATTTGTAAAAAAATGTATATTGTTATGCCAATGCGCATTCCTGAAAGCTTTAATATGCATTTGTTCTAACGTTATTGTTCATTTTAGCAGTCACTTGCGTGCATAATGTTTAAAGTTATTGTGCATTCAGTCTGGATTCTCTTATGTGCAAATCTAAACTAAAATTGAACTAAATAAATAATTGAAATATTTATTTGATTAATTGAGTTAACTTAAATAATTAAAAATATTTATTATTATTACTATTATAAAAGTATATTTAGCATTTTAACATTTTATATTATTGTTTTATTAAAAAATATAATATAATATATATAATATAAGTATAAAGAAATATATAAAAATAATATCTTTTATATATTTTTTATAAATTACATATTTGATCCATGGGCTAAATTGAATATAAAGAAAATGTTGAAATTGCAATTGGGTGTTTATGAATTATCAAATTCTCAACAACAACCCCCAAATTCAAATTCAACATTCAAGTCTGTGAAGGCCAATTCGGCCATGAAATTGCTTTGGACGAAGAGAACTGCTGCGTGCCTGCGCCTGTTGGCGTCTCCAGAAGAGCCGTGATTATTTTCGCTGCCGTTGGAAACCGCTGGGAGCACTGTGAACATGGTGAGCGGCTCCCTCGGCGTCATCTGAACCGGACGGCTCGGTAGAGGATTGAAAAGATTCAGGCGGCATAGGTCGAGACGGCGTCGGCGGAGGTCGATGCGGCGGCGGCGCCGATAGAGGTTGAGGAATCGGAGCTGGTCGGGCCGCGGGTGTCTGAGGAGGGGAGGACGTCGACGGCGACACGGAATCACGATGAAGCCCCGTCCATCGTGATGGAGGTGTGGCAGGCGGCTGGCTGCGGCGGATCTCGGACAGCGGCGAGCGACAACAAATGACTCGGGTGACCTGGCGGTACCGTGAGAGATGGTCGGAGGCATGGCCCGTTTGAACTATGTGTGCGATCTGTCTGTCCGTGTGCGTGTGTGTGTGAGAGAGAGAGAGAGAGGGGGGGGGAGAGAGAGGGATTAAGTTGGAGAGGGTGTCACGTGAAGATTTGGTATTGGGAGGTGGAAGTAGGGCCCACTGATGGTGGAGTGTTGGGAAATGTCAGTGTTAACCTTTACTGAGTGGAAAAATACTGTTTGTTATTGATCGTTGGATGATACAATTAAATGGTTATGATGTATTCTTATTTCTTTCACTGAGTACTATTCTCACTGGAGTGCGACCCTATATATATATATATATATACTAGTTGGGTTACGCCGTGCACGCACGGCGGACTTAAGTTCTATCTAAAAATACATTGAAAATTTGTCATCACTTGTTGCAGCCCATATTTTGGTGTCTGTTGCAACTGTTCACATATATTATGCTTGTTCAGTTGACATTGTCTGAAGATCCTTTCTCATATTATTGATATTATCCGCCATTCATTTTGAAACAAGTGTTAAGCGTCATTGATTAAACACTAAACACGTACATCCGAAAATACACGTTACAATACAACGGTCTATTTTCCAGAAAATAAAGTAATTTGCAACTTTTACAATAGCACCCCTTTTACAATTCAACGGACACGCACAGCCGACCAAAATTTAGTCGAGCATCAAGTGAAAATTAGGCGTCAGTTAAATGTCGTACTGATGAACCCCAGTTCAATATGATGCATCATCATTACTAAGTAATAGTAGTAGTATTAAACTTGAACGAGATCATCTCAAGAGTATCTCGAGAGTACCATAAATTGTTATCCATGAACAATGCTTCATAAATAGTCATAACAGTATTGCTTTTGGGGAAAGAAGGCTATATGCAGCCAAAAAGTTTCTAAACATATGTTTTGTATAATATAATAAACCAAATGAAAAAAAAAAAAAAAAAGCAAGGCCTCAAATCAGTTTTAGCTCATCCATATTCCATCTACACTCAACAGTAAAAGGAAACATGTAAGGCAAACACGAGCTTACATGGCAGGCTCGTGCTCCTATGGGACTGTGAGGAGCTTATTGATGTCCTCGTATTTGGAAGGACTTTAAGGATCTCATCATTCACCTTCATTGCCCCAAAGAGGGGAGACTTGTCGTCCCTAACTGTGCATTGGGATTGGCAACATTGCTGCAAAAGTGTGATGGTTAAGTCGTCCTGCAAGAAAATTTCAAAAAAATGTGAAACATATTGTGAGAAGCAAATAAGCCAAATTTTCTGTTCCCTTCGGTTTTATTTTCACTTGTATGTAATAAATGATTCAAAATTTTTTGTTTGAAAACACCTCATGCATTCTACTCAACCAAACTGATATTACCTCTGGAACCGTACATTATCAACATTGGTGTCTGGTATTACAAATGTTTAATAGGTCTAACCCCCAAACAAAGTAATCACCTCTAGAAAAGGTTGAGCCCAAGAATTTTTTATACAAAGACTCTTTTATTGTTAGAAAAATCGTCTTCGAAATTAGCACCCAATAATTGTTTACACAAGAACTCTTTTATTGAACCTCTTGAATTTGATGTGCTTGGGTACATACTCCTATAAATCACGCAGCAGTAGCAAAGAAAAAATTGTTAAAATCGGGTATGCCAACAACACCGTCGAAACAACAACACTGGTTGCATCTGTAATGGACGACATTCATAATCGCGACCAACACGCTACCTCTTCAAAACAAAAACATAGAAAACAGATCGAAAAAACCAAGAAAAAAGAGAGAAAAAAAAAAAAGCAAATGCATACCTTTTAGTGTCAATTGATTTCAGCCATATAAGCCCTCTTTAGTTCTCCATCAAACATCAAACCAGAAACTATATATACAAAAAAATTTACAAAAACATTATCTTAACAAAATATTTAAGGTCTATTCATCTAATCTAATTTCACAAAAAACCCTCTAAAATCTAGAAAACATAAAGCGTTTTAAATATCTCTTGTAATTCATATTGAAATATAAACAATCAAAAGCATAAGGTGGAATATGACATTAGAAATATGTCAGCAGTAACTCCAAAATAAAAGTTCAGTTAACACAAGCAAAAAAAAAAAAATACCCTGGTTGATTTTTTTGGGAGGAGATTACCCGCAGTGGTTTTGATGGGGGAAAATTTTCTCCGCTAGAACTCTATTGAAAGTTGGAATCAATCATTTAGGGTTTAGCCATTGCTAACAGCCAACTCTCGACTTCATTTAAGGATAAACTTTTTCTTATCTGGTCTTTTGTTCTAAATTAAAATGAGATTCAATCCCTTTGCTCTTCAAGATTACGAAATATCATTTGAGTTCTAGAAATTTGCCCCCATCTACCTCTTTCCCTTTTGGAGTTCGAGAATTCTTCTGCTTTCTTCATGGCTTCTCCCAAATACGTCTCGAGAAATCACATCGACTGTCGCCGCTAGCTCCACATCACCTGATTGCTGCAGTTCCTCAGCCTGACCAACACAGCTTCTATTCCAACCACGACTGCATCTCTGAAGTCGTAACCTAGACACTTAGATTTTATCAGAGCTTCTCCGATCTGAATATCGATCCCGTCCCCACACGCTATAAAGGCGATTAGGAGGCCGACGTGGGGTTGACCGATCTGAATCATCGATGCCCGAATTTTGGGCTGGAGTCTTCTTTGACAGAGAGAGAGAGAGATAGATAGATAGAGACGCAGTAAAAAATGAGATAAATGTCTGTTTCTTCAAAGTTTCCCTTGGGCTTTCAGTATGAAATCTAAGGCGTAAACGACACGAAAGAAGATGATAGATATAAAATCCCGGAGAATCGTGAGCTCGATGATTCCCTGCGATTTAGGCGTCAGTGGACTTCAGATTAAAGATAAAGTCCGTACAAATTAAAGAAAAACGTTGTCGTTTCCATGAGGAAAATTGAAAAAAAAAAAAAACATTTTAGTAAATTACATGTCGAATGCTAAAGGAGAATGAGGGGTATTTTAGTAAGACACTTGTCACTTTATAACAATGGCAAAATGGGACACTTGTCATTATTTAAAGTGCACACACTCCTTCATATATAGATAAGATATATATATATATATATATATATATATATAAAGCAATCAATAACATCACTTTGACATTTAAATAAAATAAATAATAACTATGCCAATAAAAATATCCGAAAAATCTACTAATCGAACGTGGGCATTACACTAAAATACTAACTTTTACTCGGGTACAACTCAAAGTGACTCGGATGTAAAAATAGGCTAATTTCACTTGCTAGATGACCGAGTATGAACTCCAAACGAGCCAATCTTTTACCAGCATCAAACACATGATTTATAAGGATTTTGAAGCTATCAAGTTCGGCCTATACATGCTTGCTACGAAAAGTTCTTAAGAATTCAAAAATTCGAAACTACTACTTAAACATGAGCATGAATGGATTTCTTCATATGATAATTCTTATAATATCATATAATAGCCATAAAAATTGTTAGGCACGAGCTAAGCTTCTTGGAACTAAGAAAAAAGGTACTAGTGCCTTTAATCGTGTCCCACGTGCCACTCGCGGCTTCCCCTTAGCTTTCTCTTATTTTTGTTAAGTATGGGTGACCTAATCTGAACTTTACTGATTAAAATCTATAAAATCACCTCCTAACTTGGTGCTAAGCCTTAAAACCGAAATGAGGAGGTGGAGGAGGTCATTTTAACTCTCATAAGGACATGTATCCCTTAAGGTGGCATGAGGAGGAGCTTAGTCACCTACTTAAGTGTCACCACAATAATCTTAGTCATATATATGTGGTTTGACAACAAAATGACCGAAGAAATTCAGTTGGGCCATAAAATTTGCACTTGGGCTCGAAAATAGTGGGTTGGCGCTGGACTGGGCGCGCTGGGCCCTGGACGCGGGTGTTGGGCTGGCCTGGGTGCACAGACTGGCCTGGACTGGGCGCTGGGCTGCGCGAGCTAGCATTTGCACACGCGCTGAGCGCGAGAAAAACCTTGGGCCAAGCAAATGAAATTCTAAGGCTTATATGACTTGACCTATGATCTTAACTTAATGAATGACACTTAGAAAAATATTTGAGAAGATGCTATAAGGCTTGGATAAACTTGAGTATGGCTCGGCACTTCTAGGGCTCGAGAAATGCTCGGGCACGGGACTAGGGCTAGGCGCGGGGGATAAGCGCGAGTGCACGTGACCAAACATACTCGATTCCGATCGGGACTAAACTTCGACGATTTCTCGAGACATTCTCAACTTCGACTATCTCGTCGACTTGAAATATTAATCCCGACTTACTAGTGTCCGTTTATAAAATAAACGGTATGGAATTAGTTACCGAAATTGACTCGGTTACTGAATAAAATTTAACCGAATCGATTTTGACTTAAAGTCGAACTTATAACTGAATGACTTACTAACTCGCTCTGAAACGAAAACGAGCGATATTAATAAAAGGAAAAATAGTTCGAACTTGGAACTGAAAATACCACTTTTATTAATAATAAAAACGGGATATTACAACCTTTGCTCGTTGGTCGTCAGAAGGAGATGGGAACAAACGTCGTTGGCTCGGTGGCTGCTGGATGATTGCAGATCTTGAGCAGTGAATGGCGAGAAGTAAATGAATGGATGTCGGTGATTGGGATAGAAGTAGACATGTCAAAACGAGCCGGCAGGGCAAGCCGGCTCGCAGCCCATTTTTTTGTCCTTTCTACCTCTTTTTCTTTCTCTTTCTCCCCACCATCTCTCGTCCCATACTCCTATTTTCTTCTTCTTCTTCATTTAATCATTTTTCTATTTCTTTCCCAGTCAGCAGCCCACACATTAGAAATTTAAATCTAGCAAAACAGATCTAGACAGAGCACTTAAAAATCAATTTGATGGCCTCGCGTCACTCAGAATCCGACAACCTCCAACGACCTCCCAGAATCCGACAACCTCCAACGATCTCCCGTTGTACAAACTTGGCCCTAATGGTGGCAGCAACCGTCCTTGGCCGTGGAGACGTCCTGTTTGAGGGAGACTTCAGCAGCAACAAGAGTTGAGACACCAAAGCCTATGTATAACCACGGCCTGATAATTTTTATTACTTGGGCCCGTATCCGTTACACTTAGAAAAGATCTTTCGGTGGGCTAGCCCATTTAGGCCCACTATTTGGCGGGCCTGCAAATCTCTGGGCCGGCCAACCCTTTTGGCAGGGCAAGACGGGCAAGCCCGCTATGACGTGACTAGATGGAAGGGAAGCAACTAATGTGATTTCATTTAGCTTCAAGTGAAATAGCACGGACAATTATGTAATTTCAAGTTATGTAATTTCAAGGTAAGTCATTGTGCAGACTAAATGAATCATACCTCCTTCAGATCGAGTTATCCTGAATATGCAAGATTGTGACACAGCACAGACCATGTCTAATCCGACAGGCCATAATCGTGGGTAACAAACACATGTTTAGGGGTAGTTTGTTGGCCAAATACTATCTAGTCTAGGCTAACAAACATGCTCCCAAGTTCTTACTAAATCCAGCCTGACAACTACCCGCCCAGGTTCTAACTAAATCTCGCCTAGACGACTACCACGTAGAATTTTAGAACACTCATAAAGGTATCAGTCTCCCAAATATACACCTAAATTAAGTATTCCCAAAAACATGTTCACAAATGTGTCGTGGCCTCGTGGGCAAACAAATGTAAGGAATCAAATGGCAGAAAAAACTATAAGAAAATAAACAGTAGAAAACAACTCGGCCACGGCATGATGACAAAATAGAAACCATGACTATTTGCTTCTTCGCTGTTGTTTCCAATATGAAGACGTAAGAGCATGTAGTTAATAGAGAGATATTATTCCAAGTTTCATCCAAATCAAGGTTAAAAAGCAATTTCAAGTAACAAACACAAATGTAGTCTATTAGGCATCCCTTAAGAGTAAAACAAAATTTATGAAGTATGTAAATGTATGAGCAAAACCAAAGGGGTGCATCAATCTAATGGCATGCTGACAATATGGTAAGTTTCATCAATAGGGCTTGTAGTGCATGTGGCGCTTAAACCTCGGGAAGCTCCTGCAAATGAGGATATTTTGGTTTTAAATTTCAAACAGATAGTTATAAAATCAAGTTGTTCTAATTCATTGAAGTGATTTCCTGCTTCTAAAATAAATGACATGAAGTTATCAATCAAATGAAACTGCATTTAATTTCACGTAGGTCATCTCATTATCTCATATAATGGCAACTGAATAATAACTTTGAGTTTTGTTCTACATGCAACACTCGCATTAGATTTGCATAATAGAGTTATTGCAAAGGTAAGCAAATAAGAGTAATCCAAAAAGTGCGTCGTAAGTTAAACCTAGTTACAGAAATATTCTTGCAGCTAAAGTTCAACCTAATTACAAAAATATTCCTTTATCAAATGACTGGTCCTTTAGGTTTCTGATATTGGTATATGAATTGATCTTTGTGCAACTTGTGAAATACTAAAACATATGGAAAGAGGCTGTTGTACTTTTTGAAAACAACCGGATATTCTGTACTTTAATTACTACATGGTTTAGTTACGCAACGAGATGACAATAAATTCCTTGTATATTCTGAAAAGCTCATAAAAACATGTAAAATAGACAAAAGTTGCTAGAAACAACCACCACAGCATATAATATAATTGAATGCGTAAAGGTATCCACCATTGCCACAATGCAAAAGCGACCACCAGCTCATAGAAAAGTAAAAAGAAAAGAAATAAATCAACAAAAATATAAGAAAAGAACAGAGCATACAAAGTCGTAATGTCCTCACCCATAGCCATAGTACGGAATTGGATATATTCCACGATAGTGATTCATGCCAGGAATATTAGTCCTCTTAACAGATACCTGTTTTCAAACATAAATACAAAATTAAACAAATTTAGGGACAATTAAGATTTACTCTGCATATTAAGACTATCAATGCAAGATCACAAACCTTAAGCTGCCGGCCACGCAGCTCGGATTCGTTCAGCAGTAGAGCATTTTGAACAGCCTCAACCTCCATAAACTCCACGTAGGCAAAACCTTTGGGCTGACCAAATGTGTCTAACATAATTGTAACCCTGTTGATAGTTCCACAAGACTGGAAATGCTGCTGCACCTCTTCGGCAGTGCATGCATAGTCAACCTGTGTTTATTGCGAGAAAACGAATAGTTCAAAAAGAGTTGAAATTAGAAAGAAGTATATGATTGTATACATTCATTATGCTATTCATACTACAATACGTCCAATTTGTTCCAATGAACCAAACAACATTTGTTTCTCGCCCTATAAGTATTAGGCACATGTGGAAAATCGAGAAATAAGAAATTTGTTCAATCTCATTAGCACATAAGATTTCATACCATATGTGAGAGTCATTGCACATTCTTTCAAATAGATACAGAAGTGAGAAGAAAAGAAAAACATTCCTGGATGATAAGAAAAGGACAAGAGACTCACATTGCCAACAAATATTGATCGAGTATCCGACTCTTCCTTAGGCTCTATTATCTCTACCTTTGGCTCTAACTTGACAGCCACGACAGAGCCACCATTTTGACCTTCCACGATGTCTTAAAAGATAGGAAGAAAGAGTCCATAATTAAAAAATCACTATCTCAGTACCATTGAAATTACAAGGTGCCATGTTACAAAATAATAAAAGTGAAATTAATTCCTAAGATGAGTTGCCTTCTAGATGTTCCGATAAAAACAAAAAAAATATTTATGATGTAAATTTAGTTCAGATTCATTCAAAATTAGATGAACTGATTAAACTGAGACATGCAAAATGTTATTGAGTTAAAGAAGTAAAATTCTAATTTTTCACTCTGGGGGGAAACAGAGTTTCTTCTGTCGACAGGCAGTAATAATTGCTTTTCACATATATAATTTAGTTATAAGTTGTTTAACTGCGTATTTAGTGCTATTGGTATCTCTTTACATGAGCAACTTCATAGAATAGAATACATGCTTGTCATAATTAATACTGCAGTAACAAAAATCTACATCAACACCTAGAGAAAGTAAGCAATAATAGTGTAGCAACGAAAGTCTATTGTCAGGTAGAGGAACAGGTTACAAAGAAACTGTTTCACATACTTTCTTAGTTTGAGTCAAGCTAATTCACCTGCATGATTTTAAGGATTTTAAGTTTTATGTCCGTGCTATGTCTCTGTTCCTGTTGATGGTGGTTGTATTTCTAGTGTTAAAATAAGGAAGAAGTTCACATATGTTGTAGCAGGTGGCCAATAATACGAGTGATTGTTGGTCTTGCGACTTTGGAAGCATTTTTAGAGTTTATTTCCTTGTTTTGAGACCTCCATAGCAGGAGGATTTGTGTTTTTAGCAAGAGAACACTTTTGAAAAATTTTGAACTCATCCTTTTGAACTTATTTTTAGAGCATTTTGACGTTTATTCTTCTCGCCAAAATATGTGAGTTAGGAAAGAAGATTATTCGCCTAAATTTGTGCTGGGATTTTTACACACGTATATTTGGTTTTTCCAGGTTTTGACCAATTGTAAGTCTTTTACTTATAAATTTTCATATTGTATGCTGAATTCCTTTCTTTTGATGAACATGATGTATTCCCATGCATTACCTAATTTCATAATTAATATCTAGGATTAGGATGATTCAAATTCAGTAATCAAATGTATGCGACTAAGTGATGTGATTTGCCTATTTTTATTTGGTTTCAGTTTGACTGATTTTTTCCCGTAAATTCTTGATTAATTTTAGAACAATATCATTGTTGGATCACAAATTCAAATAGGCTGATTTCTTAATCTGCCTAACACGGTCCAATTGTTAAATTAATTAGGTGAATTAATTATATGTTTAATATGCGAGTACATGAGTTAAGGAATCAAATTGCTAATACTTTCTCACGACAATTTAAATTCACATCATAGATGAATTAATGCATATATAATGGACCCGATGAGATGAACCCTACATTTCTATATGATTTCTCGTTAGTGTAGTGTGATTATTGTTTTAGTTATTTAATTATATTTCATTTTAAAAATTTTCTAGTATTCAAAACCAATTGGATTAGAGGGTTTAGGTGATGCTTTTAGTGGGTTTATTATGTGTTTTGGCACTTGAATTGTATATCCTGCTAAGTCTTCCACTTAAGTGCGACTTGGGTCTGCTCACTGACTCCGATAGACCTCTCATACTCTTGCGAGCGATTTAAAAGGTTACTTTAGGTTGAATAGACACTTAATGCATCATATCATATACGATCATATAGCAATACACATTGTGGAAGTTATAACATTGTTCAATATCCCATTACAAAGCAATTAATGTCAAGTTAGAAATCTGACACGACGAAAATTGCCTAGTGAAATAGCAACTTGCTCAAGTGCAACAAGTCGACATGTCTTGTGGCAAACAAAAGAAACGTGATACTAACAGGACTTCTAAGGTTTCAATAAATGGCTAATCATATATAGCAACTATATTACTGATGATATCTTTTTAAGGTTATAAACAAAATAAAAGATAGGTGGGAAAACAAAAGAGCATCCATATATACCCAAAAAATCTAAAAATATTAAACACATTCAAATGGATCTAACAAAAATTAAAAAGAAAAAACCCTCGAATCTTAAAAATCTTAAACCTATACAATGGCAAAGGTCATCCATCCATCCATTAGCATGAATACCAAATTTTATCATAAGAATCTGGTCTCCGTATTTAGCGTCATACCAAACTAGATCCAATTGCAAGTTTCCAGATAAAACATTTATCCAATTCATCACTAAAATTCAACAAAGATATTATAGGCACTATTTCTATCTAGGGAAAAACTAAATTAAAAGAAAAAAAAAAAATATTTACAGCTAGGGTGATCCTAACAGAGAAAGACAGATCACAAGCTTAAACCAGAAAAAATAAAATGAAACCCTTTTCCCAATGAAATAAAAATAAAAGAAAAGCAAGATCACAAAGCACGTGCTGATAATAAGTTATGAAGTAAACCTTGGGCTGCGCGTCTCTCTTTCTCCAGCTTAGCCATCACTTGGCGAATCTCATCAGCCTCTTTCTCTACCTCTTCCAATTTGCGCCTCAAATTCTCCAAAAACTACAAAATTAAAAAACCCCAGAAAGAAAAAGAATTAGACACGAAATCCAAAAATCATGACTCTTGCAATATTTTTGTATAAACTACAGTAACTTGTACTCGCGCACACACAAAGAAGTCATAAATCTTGAGATTCACAACAGAATACTAAATTATTTTTATACCCTAGTTTTCGGCTGAACAATAGCGGCGGCTTCAGATGTATCGAAATTAGCTTCAGTGAGTGATTTCTGGGGCTCAGAAACGCCCTGTTCTTTCTTGATGCCCTGTTGTTGCTGCCATTTGATTTCCATCTCTCTCTATCTATTCGTCTCTTCTCTCTCTCTCTGGGATGTTTGTATATATACATGTTTGTTCTTGCTTTGCTTTCTCCGGTGCAGGTGATCTGTGTAATCATATTTGAGAAAGGTGAATTCGATGCGCTCAGATTTGGGATTGGGAAAATTTTGCAATTGTGGTTTTGGTGCGAAAAGGCAAGAGGTGATAGGAAATTCGGGGGTTAAGGAGGGGATGAGAAAGGCATAAATGGAAGTATGGAACAGCAGAATTAAAATGTTGATGTACATTTTACGTCATCCTCATAGTTAATGCACCTATGATAGACAAAATATTATATGAATTTTATATTTAAAATTATGAGTTAAATGATAGAATATCATATTTTATAAATTATATTTAAAATAATAAGTTATATGGTCATATTTTATAAATTTGATCATTCATAAAGATGAATAATGTAATTACAAATTAGGAAAATAAAATTTAACCTCTCAAACTATGCAGATTTTTAGATGTTGCCTTACAAATTTTTCTTCTTGACAATTTGCCTCACATAGTAATCGAAACTGACAAGGGTGATTCTACAGTCAAGTACCCCTCGTAAATGTCTCGTATATGCATAACAACAAGTATCCCTTCAATTCCTACCAAGTGTCCTTTTCATAATTAAATTAAAAAGAAAATGAAAAAATCATAAAGGTTAGTACAAAAATGCTCTTACTTAAAAAATACTAATTAAATAAAATGTTTAACTTATAAATATATTTACTTAAAAGGTGTTTAATTATTCTGTTATTCTTATTTTACCTAAACACATTTGCATATTTTAATTATAAGCCACAAATTTTACTAAAATGTAGTTGTATTGAGTTCCATCATCTTTATCTTCATAGTTTCTCCAATTTCAATCTCATCGTGGTCGGCACCGACTTCCACAGTCTATAATCGCTTCCGCCGCTCGAAAAACGATCATTCACCTCGAACCCAATCCCTTTTACGGCAACCATTCGGCTACCCTCCCCCTCGACGACCTCGTCTCCTTCTTGAAAACCCACTTTGAATCGCAAACCCAATTCCATTTCATTTTATCTGTCTCAAGATTTTCTTTTTATTTTCTTGAACTCACTTATCTCTGCAACTCAAAAATATTGAAGAATTTTTTCTTCAAACTACATCAACAACAACAACATAGCCTTTTTGTCCCAAGCAAGTTTGGGTAGGCTAGAGATGAAACCCAAGAAAACCAATGGTAAGAGAAACACAAAAAGGGCTCAAAACAAGAGGAAGAGATTGGAGCAAAAGAGAAAGGAGCAAAAGTTACGGTTCTGGCACGTTGATTGCTAGCCTCCAAGCGCTCCTATCCACCGCTAAATCCTTGGAGATATTCCAATCTTTAAGGTCTCTCTTAACCGACTATTCCCAAGTGAGTTTAGGCCGACCTCTACTTCTCTTTACATCATCGACCCGCTGTAGAACTCCCCTATGCACTGGTGCATCAGGAAGCTTCCGTTGGACATGTCCGAACCACCTCAGCCAATGTTGAACCAATTTCTCCTCAATTGGAGCCACCCCGACCCTATCTCGAATATCCTCATTCCGGATTTTATCCCTTCTTGTTTGCCTGCAGAACCAACGCAACATACGCATCTCTGCTACACTTAGTTGTTAGACATGTTGCCTCTTTGTAGGCCAACATTTAGCACCGTATAACATCGCCGCGGACGAATCGCCGGCCTATAGAACTTACCTTTTAGCCTTTGTGGCACCCTCTTATCACAGAGAATGCCCGAAGCTTGACGTCATTTCAACCAACCGACTGCAATTCTATGCCTAACATCAACATCAATGCCGCCATCCTTTTGTAGCATCGATCCTAAATACCGGAAAGTCTCCTTCTTGGCCACCACTTGCCGGTCAAGGCTAACGTTACTATCATCATGTGTAGTCATGCTGAAAGCGCACGTCATGTACTCGATCTTCGTCCTACTAAGTCTGAAGCCTTTTGACTCTAACGTTTCCTTCCACAGCTCTAACTTCCTATTTACCCCTGCCCTACTCTCGTCAACTAGCACCACATCATCAACAAAGAGCATACACCAAGAGATATCACATTGTATGTCCCTTGTGGCCTCATCCATCACCAAGGCAAATAAATAAGGGCTCAATATTGACCCCTGGTGTAGTCCTATTTTAATTGAGAAGTTGCTGGTATCGCCCCCACATGTTCGGACACACGTCATCGCATCCTTGTACATATCCTTGATGAGGGTAATGTACTTAAATGGGACGTTGTGCTTTTCTAAGGCCCACCACATGACATTCCTCGGTACTCTGTCATAAGCCTTCTCAAGGTCGATAAAGACCATGTGCAAGTCCTTCTTTTGGTCCCTATATCTCTCCGTCAACTATCGTATTAGGAAAATCGCCTCCATGGTCGACCTTTGAGGCATAAACCCAAATTGGTTTTGGGTCACACTCGTCACTCGTCGTAGGCGATGCTCGATAACTCTCTCCCAGAGCTTCATTGTATGGCTCATCAACTTAATCCCACGGTAGTTACCACAGCTTTGAACATCTTCCTTGTTCTTGAACATCGGTACTAAAGTACTTCTCCTCCATTCATCGGACATCTTGTTTGACCGAAAAATGAGGTTAAAAAGCTTAGTTAGCCATACTAACGCTCTGGCGCCCAAGCATCTCCACACCTCAATGGGGATACCATCAGGGCCCATTGCTTTACCTCCCTTCATCCTCTTCATAGCCTCTCCGATCTCTGCCTCCCGAATTCTACTCATGAAGGGTCCATTAGTATCCTCAAATGAGTCATCCAACTCCAGGGTAGGACCCTCACTCTCCCCATTAAACAATTTGTCGAAGTACTCTCGCCATCTGTCCTTGATCTCCCCATCCTTCACCAGTGGCCGATCCGACCCATCCTTGATGCATTTGATTTGGTTGATGTCCCTTGTCTTCCTCTCCCGAATACTAGCCATCCTATAAATGTCCTTCTCCCCCTCCTTCGTGCCTAGGCGCTGGTAAAGGTCATCATAGGCCTGACCCTTCGCTACACTCACGGCACGCTTTGCAGCCCTTCTCGCTATTTTATAGCTCTCAATGTTGGTTGCACTCTTGTCAAGGTGGAGACGCTTGAAACACTCCTTCTTCTCCTGAATAGCCCTTTGCACCTCATCATTCCACCACCAAGTATCCTTCTCTTCCTGCTTGCTTCCCCTACTCACACCAAGTACTTCTGCAGCCACCTTCTGTACACATGTTGCCATCTTTAGCCACATGTCATCTGCATCTTCTCCTTCTTCCCAACGCTTCTCGCCTAGTATCCTATCCCTAAACGTCTGCGCCGCTTCCCCTTTAAGCTTCCACCACTTCGTTCTCACGGTCTTGGCAGGTTTGTCCCGGTGAACACGTATTCGGAATCGAAAATCCGCCACCACCAGCTTATGCTGGGGGAAACACACTCCCCAGGTATCACCTTGCAATCTACGCAAGCGCGTCTATCCTCCCTCCTTGTAAGGATAAAGTCGATCTGACTTGAGTGTCGTCCACTATGGAAGGTTACCAGGTGAGATTCCCTCTTCTTAAAGAGGGTGTTCGCTATCAACAAGTCGTAGGCCATCGCAAAGTCCAACACCCCCTCCCCCTCTTCATCCCCATTACCATACCCAAACCCTCCGTGCACTCCCTCGAAACCTACATTCGTCGCACCCACATGGCTGTTTAGGTCTCCTCCTATGAAGAGCTTCTCGCTGGCAGGCACCGTACGAACTAAGGTATCAAGATCCTCCCAGAATTGCCTCTTTGCGCTCTCACTAAGACCTACCTGAGGGGCATAGGCACTGATCACATTCATGGCCAAATCTCCAACTACCAATCGGACTAGGATAATCCGGTCGCCTTATCTCCTGACATCTACAACTCCATCCTTAAGGCTCCTATCGATCAATATGCCTACACCATTCCTACTCGATGAAGCTCCAGTGAACCAAAGCTTGACGCCAGTATCCTCCACCCCCTTCGCCTTTTGTCCCTTCCATTTAGTCTCATGGACGAATAGAAATCTAACTATGTTCTTTGAAGAGAAGAGAAGCCAGGTTGTGTCCGCAATGTTAAAGGGTCTAAAAAATAGAGATGATAAGGGGACTACAGATGAGATCTCGTCTGTGAGCGCACGACCAAATGCTAAGAGAAGGGGAATCAATCTAGGGCCTGTGGAGATCATCTCCGGGGCCAGCGTTGGGCCCGCAAAGATGTTTGGGGCCGCTAGGTCGAGGCAAATACTTGGGAGGCCCGAGATGGCCACTCCAGTTCAGAGCTGGAGAAAATCGTGCTATTGGAAGTTGCAGGGCATATATGAAGCGAAGGCGGGCACAGGCAAGGGCTTCTCGAGCGTGAGCCCAAAGCCAAGAAACATTAGAGTGAAGTTTGAATTCAAGAACTCGAGGCAGGCTACGACAACGATTTTGTCGAGAAAGGCTTTGAAGAAGGCAGACTACGACAACGATCTGAACTCCGGTCAGATCCCCTCAGTGAGAAATAGGTCATTGCTGGAAAGTGATGATGGTTAGCCAGAAATTCGATAGTAAATGGTCCGTATCAATGAGAAAAGCCCGACATATTATCTTGTGAAGAAAGGGATGAAAGATTGAAACACCGTCTTATGGCCTCTAAGGAGCTTCACCCTGCTTTGATATCTCCAGAGTGTGAATACAAGGTGCAGAAGTGTTCTAATTTGAAGGAATATGTCAAATCTTCTGTTATTGGTAGTTTTTTCATGATGTCTAATACATTCTCATATGCAGGTTCTTCAGTGGCTCATAGGTGGGCTTTTAGCTGTTGTGCTCAAACCAAGGGAGGTCCAATGCCCCTTAGTCAGACGCCTTGCTCGTGAACTCTTAATGTGCTTGTTAATGCAACCTATTATGAATTTTGCAATCCCCAAGAAAGATCATGTCTCCTCATCTCTTCTTTTCCTAACCATGGTTGATTGCATACATTTTATTTTTTCTGTAAACAACTTATAGTATGAGGGATCACTCTACTAATGCTTGCAACTGCACTCACAAACCACAAGCCCTCGCTGATGGCTGACACTCGAGCATGACGGTAACAAGAACTTGGTATTGTGTGGGTTTTGTATTGGGATTTGGGAGCATAAGTCGTGGATGAGTCTTGCAAATGCAATGATATTGATGTCTATCAATGATCTTAGATTTATAGTTGATTTCTTTGTAACATATGTTACAGTGGCTGAAATTAGTGACTGAGAAAAATCCAATAAGCTTAATATCATGGAGTTGAAATATGCTTAATAGTTTTGTGAACTCTTGTATGACATGTAAATATGTTTTTGTCATTTCCAGGTGGCAACATCTGTTGATTGATTGAGTACTATTGTTGGTTGTGCTTTGGGTTTGTTGATATTGTGAACTTGATTGTATGTGATAGTTTTTGGGTTGATGTTGTGTGAGGTCAAACAAAATGAGCAGTCTCAACCACACCTTACATCTCCATTCATACAAATACATGATTTGGAAATGCCACAAATGTACACCCATTCAGCAATTCATCGATGACTTTCTACACAATTTGACAAACCGGACAAATAAAACAGAGCTAGTATTCATGTTGCTAAGAGCAAGTCATGACATGACATGCTTCTTCATTATTTGCAAAACCGGCATCACATAGTCTATTTCATGTCGTTATTGGAAATTGAATCATTCCGTTAATATCACCGCCGTTATCCTTTCAAAATTAAACCCAAGCATCATCTAGGTCCCTTATGCAACTTTGAAAGATGAATGAGTAATTAGATTTGGTCTATTTCATGCTTCTTTGAAAGATTAATGAGTAATCAGATTTGGTCTCAGTTATCCTTTCCAAATTAAACCCAAGCTTCATCTAGGTCCCTTATGCAACTTTTACCACTTCCATGCTAGATTTTTATATATATATATTCATATTCATATTAGTACGATTGCTTCTTCTTGCTCTTCCTCTAGAAATAGATCAAAAGCAAGGTACTGTGGAAACATTTTGCATTGGACAAAATTGAAATAATACAAGTTCACAGTACGCTTGAGGGTGTGGAAATTTAGAAAATTATGTCCTAATAGATGATATGTAGCATGGAAATTAATTTTGAATATATTATGGTAAAAACAGCAAATTGAACCGTTAAAATTGTGCTTAAAACGAAATTTCAAACATTTGTTGACTCGTCCAGAAAACAATCTCCAAAATGGACGTTTTCTTCTGCAGCATGTTTTCTCCAACTCCATTCACAAATTTTAACAAATATAAACAAATATAACTTCATTATCAACCACTTACTCGCCGAATAAACACAAAAGCAACTAAAATAAAAGAGAGAACATGAATTTCACATTGGAACAAAATTGTTATGAATTTAACTCCACGACAAAATTGATCCGATCGACCCGAATTGAGCATGTAAAGAAAAACAAAAAAAAAACAGAAAAGGAAAAAAAAAATGGGATAAAAAAGGACCCTGATAACCTAGATGTGTGCTGGAAAGAGAGTCAAAGTATATCATGAAGCACCAAGAGCATCAAAAACTCCTGGGATACATCTAAATTTACACTCCAAACTTCTATTAAAGTTTTGGAAAATATCTGAAATGCAAGACTTCTTACAAAAACACCATTAGTGCCTCACCAACCAAATGGGCCCAACAAGGACAAGCACAAGGTGTAACTCGGGCCCATTTGGCTGGTGGGCTTATACATCCCTCACTTGCCACCGAGCGATGGAAACTACCCAACATCTTCAATAGCGGGGGCCCGCAAGCTGTGATCATTGCCAACTCTTCATCTCCCACCATGTCCACGTCCCCTTCCTGGCCCGCCTCCTCTGTAGTAATTCTCCCCATTCGCAGGCTTCAGAAGTTCGTTTCTGCTCACTGACTATCACAAAAACAAAGCAAACTTAGAATGCAGAACTATTCAAACTTCAAATTAACGAACAGAATGAACGAGAAAACGAACAAAGTAACATATTTGAAAGGGTTCAAAAGTTCAAATTTGGATACTCTGCATGAGTAGTGTCCCATAAGGAAGTTCACATCTGTATCGACTTTGCACACGAGGACTGACGGTTTTAAACCGTTGTCTAAGATCCATTTGTAAAGCTTTGAGGAGTATCCATCCAGGTGAAGAATGCATAACAAGACCAACGCGTAAGAATTTAACGAGACATAAGCTTCTTGAAGTGAAGGAGAGAAGTGCATGTTACATTATATATCTTAGTTTTAAAAAATGCACATTAAACACGAAAACCTCACGGGAATTTCTTGAAAGCTACAGATTCATTAATTGACACGAAATGGTGTGTAAGATTGGCAAACTTTTTAACATATTCTGCAAATCGACTAATGTAAAAAGTCGATTGAGCAGCATGTCATAAAAGGATTTGAGCATGGCAAACATTTTTAGCATAATTACTTTGGTTAAAAAGTTATTCCCTAAATTTTCTTTATGTTATCCTCTCCAGTCGTCAACATTCCTATTCGTTTGTTGTAGCCATGATACCTACACTCACCATGAGAAATGCAAATAGGCCCAGGTCCAACAGCTCATGAAGTAATGAAAATTACTTGTTAGAACTTATAACTACCGAATAATGCTTTGCTTGAATTAATTCTAAGGTCCTATAGGTCAATTTCAGTTACTGTTATGATAGAAGCATAATGCTTTAGACTATAGGACAAAGATGTACCTTTTTCGCCTTCTCAGTTGCCTCTTTGCACTTATCCTTATCAGATCCCTGTTCACTTATTCACAATTTCAGCACAATATACACATTAACCAGCTACATATATATGATATATGATAGTTATTGAGTGATTGACCAGCTTTACTCACCAATTTAGTAAACACTTCATCATCATTCTTCTTGTTGGATAGAATTTGAATTGATTCAAGCTCTTTGTCCACGTTGAGGTGGAGTGGGGCCGGGTAACGAGTCAATAGCGAATTCTGGATGCCCTCGATTTAGTTTTTTTCGGGAGAGGATCAAGTTGGACTGCGGGTTGAAATTCATGCATAAGACCATGTCGGCATGACCCTTTAGAGTTTTGACGCACTCGGCGACACGTGCGTCCCAGATCTGGACCGTGCGATCATCGGAGGCGGGAGCAGACGTAGGTGGATCCGAGGACTGAATTAGCAGGAGGATCCTTCCGCTTTCGTAGGAGTAAGAGAGGAATACTCCGACGCAGACGTCGGAGGCCGGTGGTGGGCCGGTGGGTGTGGGAGGGGCTTGGGATTGGGCCCGACTCAAGGTTTGGAGGAAGAAGGAGATATTGACGTTGATGTAGATTTTTTTGGAGATATTCTTAAGGTTGTGAATTGTGATGATATATTTTTGTGTTTGAAGGATTGTTATACAAATAATAAAAATGTAAGGTGTTTAAAATAAATACAATTTTTAGTTTATAAGTTATTTTAATGTTTAATGACATAAGGGTATTATAGGTTTTTTGCCATGTACGAGGTGTACGAGTCAAGTACGAGGTAATACATGTACGAGGCAAATTCTTTTTGCTTCGTACATTGAATATGTGGTTGATATTCAATTTTGAATCAATCTAGTGGTTAATAAGGGGGTATTTGATGTTGAGTATGTACGAGGGGTACCTGATCATAGAAGATCCCAACTGACAATTTACCTCCTCGATTGATAAACCTAATATGACACAAAAAGTTTTTAACTCAATTAACGATAATTTTTAAATTGATCATTAAAATTAATTCAGGGCTTTTAAAGCGCATGGCGAGACGAACAAAATGAGGTATGGTTTGTCGATTTCTAAAAATTGATACCTCTGTAATCTATCAACGAAGATAGTAGGAGTACGTGCGTGTAGAAAGCTTAATAATCAAGATTTTGATCATTCAAATTTTTTAATAATCAAGTTTCTAAAAATGAGGTATGGTTTGTCGATTTCAATTCAAGTTTTTTAATAATCAAGATATCCAATTTATGATTGAGACATGTCATTTGAAAGCTTACAGAACCAATTTTCTAATGCGTGAATCTTATAAAAATCCAACGGTCGGATTTTCATCAATAGTTAGAAAACTATTGAACAATAGTTAGCTTTTTTTTAGGCTACTTACCAAAATTTGACCGTTGGATTTTCATATGATTTATTTCGTTAGAAAACTCGTCCTCCAAGCTTTCAAATCACACATTTTAATCGAAAATCGGATACTGTGATTATCAGAAAACTTTCATTGAAATTTTTTCTATACATACGGGCTCCCACTATCTTTCTCGATCGATTACATAGGTATCAATTTTTAAATATCGACAAACCATACCTCATTTTGTTCGTCTCGCCATGGGCTTTAAAAGTCCTAAATCAATTTTAAAGATCAATTTAGAATTTATCATTAATTGAGTTAAAAACTTTTTTGTGCCATATTAGGGTTTTCAATCTAGGAGGCAATTGTCAGTTTCGATTACTATGGGAGGCAAATTGTCAAGAAAAAAAGTTCGTAAGGCAAACTCTAAAAATCAGCATAGTTTGAGAGGTTAAGAAAAATTCCCTACAAAATATTTACTTATGTATGAATCACTATATAGATTGTATAACATAATTTTCTAAAAAAATTAAGATCATGACTAATAAAGTAGTTGAAATAAATTGTTTATGCGGTTTTAAGGGTTACTTTGCAATTAAAACCAATTAGCTATTTAAAAAATTGCTTAATGAGTTAACAAAATATTAATTTTAAAATAAATATGATAACGAGATATTATACCAGATCGGCTTTAATGGATAAGAAGAAATATATATTGGAGAATAAGTCCACATATAGGGTAGGACAAATGACATAATGATATGAACCAAGTCTAACTTGGGCACTAAAGTACATTCCCCTTATAAAAGGGGCTAAGGTATCCCAAAACTTTACTCTCTCTAAGTTGATTACTATACTCTTGAGAATTGAGTTTGGAGTGATATTGACTTAGGCATCGGAAGCCCGATGTTGGGATCCCCCGGCGTTGGGTTCTTGCAGGTACGGAGGCTGTCCGAGTTGAAGGAGTCCGGGTGAAATCCATTTCACTAATAAAATACATTATTTTTTATAATTTTCTAACTTCCATAATCCATTTAGTGTGAATATATAATTGGTTAATGCTATTAATAATTATTATATGATGGAATAGTGAAAAAGTATTATTACACTCAGTTAGTGAAAATGTAACGGTTATTATTCACAATTAATAAAAAATAAAGTAAAAAAATTTTGGTATATGTATTAATTGAATACACTACAATAATATAGGAAAGAACGAGCGAGAGAACAAGAGACAGAAGAGCAGAAAAGTTTGTGTTTTTATTCATCGTATATCACCTTTTTATAGGGTTTACAAGTGAGAAGCCCTAAAACCTAATTCTCTAACTAATGGACTTCAGGCCCAATTATCTATTAGTAATGTCCATATTCATATATTTATAACACTCCCCCTTGGACATTACTACATCATGTCCATGTCTCGTTAAAAACCTCGCTACAAAACCCAGTGGGAAAAAAGAGAAAAGTGCATTTTTCGTCCTGTAAGTTTACCCCTCTGGACAATTTAGTCCTCTTCGAATAGCCATTTTGAGTTTCGTCCTCTAACTTTTAAAAAAGGTTGCACATTCGTCCCCGACTCGCCGGAAACCCGTTAATTGCCCGGAAACACGCACGTGATGGAAATTAACGGCTCTTTCGGCCTACGTGGAGCCGGATTTCACACGCGGACGACCTCAGTTACACGTGGCGGCCGAAATCAAAAGAAAAAGAAAAATTTCCACGTGTATACACACGTGGAAATGGAACGTTGATAAAATGAATCGGGCCTACTGTTTTTGAACCATTTCCATCTTCCTTCAACCCTAATTTCCCAAATCTCAAGATCCCCAAATCTTCAAGAACCCTAATTTTGAAAATTGTTGATTTCGTTCTTCAAAATTGTCGATTTCGTTCACCTTCAACATGTCTGAGTCGTCGCATTATACCGGTTTCTTGGAATGTTGGTGCAGAAAAATGGCTGTTATTCGCACATCATGGACGGCCGACAACCCGGGTAGGAGATTTCATTCTTGCCTCGAGTACAAGGTACGGTGGTCTGTTAATATGAAGGGTGTTTATATGATATATGATATTTTTGGTAGAATTGCTTCTGTGTTTGATTGTGTTCTGATTCTTGCAATGTTGGGTTTTTTCATGGCTGTGTGGAGGGTGTTTGATTGTTTCATGGCTGTATTATACATTGTTTTAACCTTGTTAATGTACAGAATATGGAGGAAAAAATCAACCTTGTTTTAATTTTTTTTTTTTTTTTTGGTAATGTACAGAATGGAGGCTGTGATTTTTTCTCTTGGGTCGACCCTCCTACCTGTGACCGGCCTGAAAAAATCATGCCTGGGTTAGTGAAGAAGATGAAGGCACTGGAGAGAGCAAATGAAAACTTCAAATTTGAGAATACCAAATTGGAGGAGAAGGTTGAAAAACTGGAGGAGAAGATTGAAAAATTGCAGAAAAAGGTTGAAAAATTGCAAGCATTGAACAAGAGGTTGGTTGAAAAGAAAGAAAAAATGGAGATGAAAATGGGGTTTGCATTGGCTATAGCAACTTTGTTGTGTGTATTTTTGCTATATAGAATTAGGTGAAGGCTATGGATTAAAGAAGGTTGTGTAATGTGTTTATTTTCTCTTGTAATCTTCTATGTACTCTTGTATTTTGTGTGTACCTCATTTCGGAACATCTATGTAATGCACTTGTGGTTTCAATGAAATGAAATTTCCTTTAGTTTGCAGACTTGTCTCCCTTGATTTTGGAATACCCATGATAGTTAGTCTTTCCCTCCTGCACAAGCTAAGTTCAAATTCAAGATTCACCCCACCACATATTAACTAATCAGAACAAGTGTAGGAACATTTAATATAACAAATGTATCAACATTTTTTGCTGTGTGATGAATGAAAGATTCACACAGTGGGCAGGCAAGAGTATGAGGCATGGTTTGTTCTACTTTTTTAAGGTTAACTACAAATTGTTCAATTGGTATGTGCAAATTGCAAAAACACAAATCAATCATTTTGGCAACAAGGTTTATGTTTGAAGAAGAGAAGCTGTCCTACCTTTATTTTAAATTTGAAAGGTCATTTTAGTAAACCCAACTTCCTAAACCAACAACCAGCCTACATGTTATTGGAACATATAAATTAAATAAAAAAAAAAGTGTACCCTTTTATATATGTAAGTATTATCCACCTATTCATTCCAACATCACAATCTAAGAGATTATATATTCATCTGTCACAACTTTCTTGTAAGGCACAACAGAGAGAAACAGAGAGAAGGAGAATAATGGAAGACAACAGCTTGCCAGACTCATCAGCTTCCTATCCTCACTGCAAAACAAAACTCAACTGCACAACTCAACCATTTCATTGTCAACTAAACTCAACTGATATGACTCAAAGGCAATGCATAACTGATCACAACCATCACAACTCAACACAAACAAATTCAAAAGTAGAACAATAATCATAACTGATCATAACCATCACAACTTATGTGTTCCATAAACTAAACAAAAAAAGAACACAACACAAGTGTTTTATAACCACCAAGCATAACAAAATTAACAATATCCCAAAAAAATCTAACAATATCCTGCCATTCAGTTTCCCACCAAAATAAACAAACAAATCCTGCAAATGTTTTACAACCAAATCAACTAAATTCAGTTTCCTATCAAATCAACTGAAATTCAATTCTTTGTAGAATTTTCTCCCTTCTCCTTTTTGATCTGCTTCAACTTATGAGATGAGCTACCAAAAGAGAGGTCATTTTGAATCCTTTCAAACATTGCTGGAGTTCCATCTCTTGCAGTGATGGCCTCCAATTGCTTACCTCTAAAGTATGAATCATCTCCTAATCCCATTTTCAGTTGTTCAAGGGGTGTGGGTCCCTTTGTCATCTCAGGCTGTGGAGTTACACAAAACTCTTGTGTCAATTGTGACACAAAGCCCTCATCATCCCAGTCAGTTTCTTCTACAAATGGAGCAGGTGGTGCCATGCTTGGCCCTTCTTTTTGTTGAAGAAAAAACACAGTCATGGCACCATTTTTTAGACAGTGACCATAACATAAATGAATTACAAAGAAAAATTAACAAAGTCAGTAATACCTCTTTCTCTCTGGTGGAGGTGGAGCCTTGTTTTTGTTCAAGAAACAACAAGTTGTTAATCAGACACATTTGTTAATAATGTAATTAAATGAAATAAAAAGAAAAATGAATAAAGTACCACCTGCTTATCAATGCTTAAACCTTGTTTCTGTATCTTTGCTTCCCTATCATTTTCTTTGGCCTTTTTTGCAGTAGCCTTAGCTGCTTTCTCCTGTCTTGCAGCATTAGCCCTCTTAATTTGCAACTGCAAAAGTATGAAAACATAAATAAGCCCTCTTAATTTGTAACAATAAATAACAAAACTGAAAAAAATAAACATTAAAACATATTTTACATAAAAGCTGTAATTTTGCTTACAATTGTCCGGCTTGCTTTAGCTAGTGGGCTCTGATCCTTCTTGGCATCAGAAAGGTTTTTCTTGCCACAAGATCTGGCATTGTGACCCACATTGCCACATTTTCCACATTTCAAACTTGTCTGCTGCCTCTTCATCTTCATTTGAATCTTTGCCTTCATTTTCTGTCCTTTCTCTCCTTTCTCATCAGGATCAATCCTCCTTGCTTTCTTAGGTCTACCTGCACCTCTCCCAAATGTGGGAGGCAAAGGTGGAATGAAATGGGTTTGGTTCCACAGCATCTGACAGTTAATACCTAGGATGGCTGGTTTGTAAACTCTTTTGTATGTTTCCACACTGTAGAAGTCATGCACATAATCAACTGCATTGCCTTTTTGAGATACAATTGCACTACATGCATGCTTGCATGGTATCCCACTCAAGTCCCACAACCTACATGTGCAAGTTTTCTTTTCCAAGTCTACCACATACTGACCTCCACCATAACACTCTATTTGATAGTGAGTGTTGTCACTTTTCATAGGCATGCAGTCACCTAACTTTGCCATATTAGCCTCCACTGTCTTAATGATCTTTGGACACACTTTGCCTTTCCATCTCAACTCTGCCCTATCCCTGTTTCTTTGAAGCCTTTTCACTAAGTACATTCTGATCCATTCAAGCATAGTCACTATGGGTTCCTCTCTAGCATCAACAATGCATGCATTAAAACTCTCACACAAGTTATTCAACAATATGTCACACTTTGGTTTTTCCTCAAACTGTGATTTTGACCAATGTGCAGGGTTCTTGTCATTGAACCAGTCAGCAGCTTCTACACATATTTCTCTCATTTATCTCATTCTAAAATGGAACTCACCCACAGTAGCTGCCTGTGCAGCAGCCCACAAAGCATTTTTAAATGAAGCCCCTCTGTAACCAGCATTTTTAAAGTTATTGTGCAGATGTCTAACACAAAATCTATGTGTTGAGTCAGGAAAAACATTCTGAAAAGCCACAATCAACCCTTTCTGTTTATCACTAATGAAAGTACAATCACTGTCATGCACAATGCCAAGATCATGTTTCAATGCAATCAGCAACCACTCCCAAGTATCCCTAGCTTCTTTACCAACCACAGCATAAGCTAAGGGATATATGTTGTTGTTAGGATCAACACCTACAGCAGTCAGAAGAATACCCTTGTGGGGTCCAGACAAATGACAACCATCAACTCCTATTATTGGCCTAAGACCACTCCTAAAACCTTCCTTCAGTGCAGCAAAACATACATAGAATTTGGAGAACCTAGGAACACCATCATCTTCTTCAACATCTAGAATCACAGTTGAACCAGGATTTGTATCCCTCAGTTGTTGGGCATAATCCCACAACTTTTCATACTGTGAATCTGGATTTCCCTCAAGTACCTCTAGAGCTCTCTTCTTAGCCCTATAAGCCTGGTGCCTAGAAATCCCAACCCCCAATCATGAACCACTTCCCTTCTAAATCCCTTTACTTTTCTTGAGGGATCAGCTTGAAACTTGCTCAAGTACCTCTCAGACAACCACTTACTTTTAATATTTTTAAGATGAAAAGATATAGGGCATGTATGAGTGGGGTTGTAAGTGGTTATCTTGAAGGCTTCCTTGTCAGGAATCTTAAGGGCATGAATTTTCCACTGACACTCCTTTGAATCACATACTGCATGGACCCTAATCTTATCATTTTTTTTCAACTTCACATTTCTTTTGGACTTAATAGCATGTGACTGTACAGCTTTCTTAAACTCTGCTCTAGTACCAAAGACCATTCCTAGTGCAAATGTTGGATCATAGATATTGCTAGGATTAAATACAATTTCTCTCTTTTCAACTGTTTCAGTATCTGAACAAAACTCATCAAAATCAAGTGGAGTTTCAATTAAATCTTCTTCCCCACTATCAGACTCAGATTCAATTTCAAACTCCACAGATTTGTCTACATTGTGATCAAAGTCTGCATCATCCCTCCCACAACTACTTTCTGATCTAAGATCAAAGTCACTGTCTATAGTTTCACTACCCTCATCACCCCCATCACTATCACCCCCATCACTATCACACCCATCATCACCCCTATCAGGTACCTCAGCACCCTTGCCTTCATTTTTTTCACTACCCTTGCCTTCATTTTTTTCACAACCCTCATTATCTGTTTTTTCACTCATTTCACTCTCACTTGTTTCACTGCTCTCACTTGTTTCACTGCTCTCTGCTTCACTCTCATTATTTTTCTCCAATTCTACCCAACCACCTTCATCATACTTAGAAGTAGGCACAAATTGACCTTCATCCATTAGATCAATGTGAATGTCCATCAATCTATTAGTATAGAAACATTTAGCCCAATTACATAAAGTTGCATCATCTTTCAGTAAGTTAAATGTAGCACCCGAGTTGAAATAATACCTTCTATTTCCTACACAACCAAATAGATCAGTAAGACAACCCAATGTATCAAGACACAGTTTTGACTTCTCTAACCAGTCAAAAATCATACTAGAACCCCCAAGATAATGGTCAATTGGAGTATGCAAAAATTGACCTCCACACCAAAGTTAGATAGTTAAGTGATCTCTACTTTCTATGGAACCAAACCCAAGTCAACCAAACAACAACAAACAGAGAGAAATTAGGGATTTTCAGATAACCACAACAATAAGCAATTGAAGAATGTATAACTGTATTTTGAATGAAATTAGGGATTTTAACCACATTACAGTCACCTAAATTAGGGTTAGAAAAAAACCCTAATTTGTCTTCAAAATTAAGGTTTACAAAATAACCCTAATTTATATTCAGAATCAGGGTTCGCAAAAGAACCCTAATTTGTATTTAGAATTAGGGTTTGCAAAAGAACTATAATTCGTTTTCGAAATTACGGCTTGCAAACGAAATTACGATTTGCAAAGAACCCTAATTTCATTATAATGTACGGAATTTAGATCCTCATTTCATTTTAATTGTACGAAATACTCTGCGACATTACATTGCACGAATTTTTTCCATAAACAAAGAAAGATAATATCACTGACCGTATGTGGGAGGTCCATTGTGCATACGAATCTTCTTCCGGATGAACACCTTCTCAGGAATCATTTGGATTCTTGCTTCTCAATACTTGATTTTGAGCTTTCGATTTTTTTACCTTTGGAATTTCAGAAAGAATTTGAGAACGATGTAGATGGAGGGTTTTTTTCTTCACAGAGAATTTGGGAACGCGATTGTGGGGAGAAGTGAAGTGACTGTTCATGTTCCTGCTTTTCATCTGTTTTCCCTCCATTTCCACGTGTGTATACACGTGAAATTTTTTTTTTCTTTTGATTTCGGCCGCCACGTGTAACTGAGGTCGTCCGTGAGTGAAATCCGGCTCCACGTAGGCCGAAAGAGCCGTTAATTTCCATCACGTGCGTGTTTCCGGGCAATTAACGGTTTCCGGCGAGTCGGGGACGAATGTGCAACCTTTTTTAAAAGTTAGAGGATGAAACTCAAAATGGCTATTCGAAGAGGACTAAATTGTCCAGAGGGGTAAACTTACAGGACAAAAAATGCACTTTTCTCGGGAAAAAAATAGTCGAGGAAAAGAGTACATGACATATGCATATTTATGTGTTACACTTGTTGCCCCGTTAAAAACCTTACTAAGTAAAACCCAATGGGAAAAAAAAACTTAGCTAAGGGAAAAAGAGTACAGCACCGGCCAACAGGGCCTAATTTTCAGGATTACACTTAGCCTTTCGGGCTCGATCTTCATGATTTATTTATCGCTCCCCCTGAAGACAAGAGCCTTTCCAGTTGCATTTATAAATGTTTGTTGCTCCCCCTCAAGGTAAGATTATCTACATAAAATCGTCATTGGTTGCTCTTCCAGAGTTAATATGGATTCAAAAATATCATCAAATGTATTTCCATAATTTATTTGTGTAACACAAACTAAGTTATCTTCAAGATAAATATGAGGAAATTTCAATAACTAATGGTAAAGAGTTAATACCATTTAAGAGGTATATAACCAATCGAGGACCCAGTACTTCAGAAATTAATTATACACTTGATGTCTTTATCCACCAATATCATATATCAAGTCCAAAGATAACTCAACATACATGAAAGCATAATGAGATATTCTCAGTTTATCACGGTCTCTTTAAGAAGAGAAATAGTAAACGTTGCTAGCAAATTCATCACAAATGTAGTATCAGGCCTGATGCAGTTTGCGTGATAAAAGTTAAGCACAATTGTGCTTAGTAAATAAACTTCAGGTCGTTTGTGGACTTCAAGTCCATTGGAACTTTAGGTCCTATAATATCCTCATTTGTTTCTTTGGATCTTTGTCAAATTCTAAATATTTGACACTCATTGGTGTTATAATTTTACATCACTAAAAAGAGATTTAAGTAGATTGGTTGGGTAAAAATACTCCTTCTAGGAGATGCTCGATCTACAAGTCGAGAAAATTGTAATGCCCCATTTAATTGTGATTTTATATTGTGGATTATTATTATTATTATTATTATTATTATTATTATATGTCTAAATATTATATGTCTAATTGTCAATTAATTGCTAATTGTATATTTTGATTAATAATATTAGTATTTTAAAAATAATATACATCTTTAATTTATATTGTCCGGAGTTTTGTTTATTTATCGTGCGATCGATTTGAGCTATCGAAATTAGTAATCGGAGAACCTGAGCCGAGAAGCCAATTTATTTTCGTGATAAATTATAAAATGTGTATAATGTGTATTAATATATATGTAAAATATATTTATTGTTCGATTTATTTTTATCGTGCGTTTGAACCGAAATCGAGCCCGTGAGCCGATTTTATGTCAAAGCCGGCCCAGCTGCTCCAAATCCGGCCCAACAGTTTTCAAACCCGACCCATTTGGCTATTACTGTGCGAGTGATATTCCTTTTCTTGTGAGAAAAGATTTCAACCCTAAACTCACTCATCATAACGATCGCCCTCTTCTCTTCAACTCATCACGCGCAGCTTTCGTTCTTTTTCTTTCAATCTGATTTTCTCTCTCGATCTCGTCCCTCTCGCTCGAACGTGATCAGAGAAGAGAAATCTCTCTCTCGCGCTCTGCTCTTCCCGTCGCCCTCTCATCAACATCAGGCCACCATCGTCCTCCTTCCATCATCAACGTTCGATCGTCACCATACCCCGCGGATTCCCGACATGAAGCAGATCCTCACCAACGAGCAGCACCTCTGTTCGTGAGATTTTCCGGCGAAGTTCGACCTTCCTTCGAGCAGCAACTCCGGTGACCTCCTCGGCGAGAACCTTGTTCGTGAAGCTCAGCCACCGTCGACCAGCAGCAGCGACGACCCATCCTCAGCCACACCTCCGTTTGCAAGACGAAGTTCACCGTCGAGCCCGTTCGAACCCTTCTCGCCCGATTCCCGAGAACGGTATCGAGTCTCGACTCTTCGTTTATTTATTTAGCGATTACATATCGTGTTGTTCGCGATTTATGTGTTTAGGTGATGTTAAAGTGCTTTATGAAATTGAGAAGCGATGTGATTTTATGTGATATTATTGTTCGTTATATTATATCGTCGTGATTTTTATGTGAAACTCATCGATTCGTACGAATCGATCGAGAACTAAATATAAGTGATGAGTTGCTGTGGATTTAGGAACTTAGGATTATTTTGAACACAATGGCGCTGACCTTGTGTCGATCGGACGTGTATATGTGTAGTTACGATTTTTCGAAAATTTAAATGGTTGTGCTGAATGTAAAATTCATTATAAACGGAATACAAGTCCGATTGCCTTGAAATTTTAGGAGAAGCTATTTTTTATGAATATGTAGCTGATGTAAAATTTTCATAATTTTTAAAGGTCTTTGGCTATTTCTAAAAATTAATTTGATTTCAGTTCAGTTTCTTGTTAAATGCATAATTAATTGTGTAGTGCTCCATTCTGGCCAATTTTCGAGTACGTTATGTCTCAGTTATGATTGTATGTTGTATAAAAGTTTTAGAAATTTTGGACTAGGTTTGATAGGGTTAATAACTTATTTTGTGTTTCAACAAGAATTTGTTTTAATTATGATAAATTGTTCTGAAGCTGAAAATACTGAATTTTGGATGAGAACCTGATTTTGTGATGTTTAGCATGCTGTAAAAATATTGGAATTTTTGGAATTTGTTTAGGATCAATTCTGATAGAAATTCGATAATTGGCTGAATGTTGTTTTAATTTTATAAATTCACTTGCTGAGTATTAAAGGTTGGTATCTTTATGCGTTTCTACTCGTATGCTTTCGTATTTTAGATAAAAATTTTATGGCCTGAATCGTCCATTATCATGTGTTTATAATTTAAGCTCGTTTTTGTTGACAAACATGTATGAATTTTATAAAATTGAGTATAACGAGTTTGAGGCTGAAATTTGGTGTTTTTGCTAAATTCTTGAAGGTGAATTTTATGTAAAATTTTCAGAGCCTAACTCGTTGGTTTAATATACTTCCAAATGCAAGTGTAAATTTTGACAATTGTTTTATATGGTGATTTTGGTTAAGTGTTGATGATCACATCTCGTTATGAGTTACCTGTGACTCGTGTGATTGTCTTTCATTTGAGATTATGTGAACTTGAATATGTGGTTTGATTGAGTCTAAGTCATAGAGTTCCCATATCCACAGAACTTCACGAACCACTTGGTCGAATCAAGTTCGGCTAAGTCAATTTGTGAATTTTCTACTTAGGTCTAGATAAAAGTGTTGACTTTAGTATCTGGACTTAATGTAGGTATCTAAAGGTGTTGGCCTCGACTTACTTTCGAGATTCATGATTTGATCTGTTGCTGCATCCATTGGGTACATTTATGATGTATTCCATATTTATCGCACTATTTATTTCGTATAATGCTTTTTTTGAAAAATGTTGTATGCGTGAGAACCCTAGTCTAAGTATCCTATTGGTACTGCCTTTGACGAATGCATAACAGTGAGAGGTCACCTGCCTGTTGTATCCGGGAGGAGACACCCTGATCCGGGGGGAACATCTCCACTGTCTCCTGGAAAACATCCATGATCCGTGGGTAGTTCGGGGTGGACTCCCATGATCCGTGAGTAGTTCGGGTGGGGGGAAATTTTCCAATTACGGCCTTGCCGATGTCTGGTCCGAAGGTTTGTTGTATGTACATAGGTGTTTTGCGGTAGGGCCGGGTAGGGGGTTTAGACTGTTGGATTCTATGCATACTGATACTGTTTACTGTGATGTTGTTTTTAAAATATTTATACGGGATAACTGTGCGATAATAGTGAGCTAGTTGGTTGCTCACCCCCATTATTTTGTTTGTTGTCTTCTCTCTCTTCCTTTGTTCTAGGTTGAGACGAGCTGGAGGCGGTGGCGTAGGACGACCGAGATGGTGGTCACTGTTTGATGATATCTTATGCTTCCGCATGAATTTGTTGCTTATTTATTTGCTTTCAAATACTTTGGATTATTTATTTATTCGCCTTCAAACCATGTTTGAATTTTGTTTGAACCTTGATTCATGCTAGACGTTTGGGAATGATTTTGAGATTTATGTTTTATGAGATTGTTTATTTTGATAGCTCAAGCATGTGAAGGTTCTTTGGATTGATTGATTGGATGTGTTCATTTGCTGTGGTTAGTAAGTAGCGCCCGTTTCTCGATAAATGTTTTAATTTGGATTTAAAAAAAAAAAAAACTCTGATTTTTATTAAATAAGTTCGGTAAATACTTTAAAACAAAACGGGGTGTTACAGTTTGGTATCAGAGCTAGTATGCGTTTCTGTAGACTACCTCTTTTGTTTATGCGTTTAATGACCATTCGACCACTCGCTTTCATCTCGCCGCGCCAGCTCAAGGTATGAATTCATAAGTGAGATAGGTATTGCTTGTGGTTTGATGATGTGAGTATTGCTGTTTTATTATTGGGGCTTAGGAATTTACCCTCCGTTTATACGGACTTGAACTCTAGTGGTATAGAGTTAAGTTCCAACTTTAGAAATGATTGTTGTGAGTTTTTGGGTTGGTGTTGTCGAGTTAAGATCGGTCTATAGCAGTGCTCTCATTTTGAGTTTCTATTTAGTACCTTCGAG